CCTCCAACAGATGGCCATCCAGCCTCTACTTAAAAGCCTCCAAAGAAGGAGCCTCCACCACACTCCAAGGCAGAGAGTTCCACTGTTGAACAGCTCTCACAGTCAGGACGTTCTTCCTCGTATTCAAGTGGAATCTCCTTTCCTGTAATTTGAAGCCATTGTTCTGCATTCTAACCACCAGGGCAGCAGAATTTATTTATTTATTTTATTTATTTCGGTCACTTCTACCTCACCCTTCTCAACCCCGGGGGGGAGGGACTCAGGGCGGCTCACAACCGGAACAATTCGATGCCAACAATTCAACAGATAAAATACATAACAGCAACAACCACAATAGTTAAAAACAATCAATTAATACAATAACAACTAAAAAGTCAATCTAGTGGCCAAACATTCACCGAGTTCTAAAATCCGTAAGTCCATTCAGCATTACCATAGTCCCTTCCAAATTCTGGTCGTCATTACCTTGTCAATCTGCCAGATTACCCAAAAGCCTGGTCCCATATCCATGTTTTCAGCTTCCTTCTGAAGGAGAGGAGGGATGTTGATGATCTAATTTCCCCGGGGAGTGAATTCCTCAGGTGAGGGGCCACCACCGAGAAGGCCCTGTCCCTCGTCCCTACCAGCCTCACTTGTGATAGAGACGGGGCCAAGAGCAGAGCCTCCCCAGAAGATCTTAAACTCCGAGGTGGGACATAGAAGGAGATACGTTCTGACAGGTACGCTGGGCCGAAAACAAGCTTGCAACCTTATGATTTCACCTCCCATCTTGATACATGCTATCACGTCTCCTCTTGGCTTTCAACTGCTCCTCATAGGGCTTGTTCTCCAGACCCTTGGTTCTTTGAGTCATCCTCTTTCTCTGGACACATTCCATCTTAGAGTTAACCTCTGCCTTCAATGGTGGTGTCCAGAATTGGACACAGTGTGATTCCAGGTAATGTGGTCTGACCAAGGCACAACAGAATAGAGGGAGAACATGACTTCCTTGGATCTAGGCACTTCCCTATTGATGCAGGCCAAAACCCCCTTGGCTTTTTGAGCTGCAACATGACATAGCTCATGTTCCCCTTTCCTCCCCACGAGGACTCCACCAAGATCTTTCCCACACGTCCTGCTATTTTGCCAGGCATCGTCCCCCATTCTGTCTCTTTGCATTTCCTTTTTTTCTGCCTAAGTGGAGTCTCTTGCATTTGTCGCTGTTGAACTTCATTGTGTGAGTTTTGGCCAATCATCTCCCTCATCTGTGAAGATGGTTTTGAATTCTGCTCTTGCCTTCTGGGGTATTGGCTCTCCCTCCCCATTGGTCCCATCTGCAAACTTGATGATGATGATGCCTTCTAACCCTTCCTCTAAGTAATTAATGAAGGACCGGGCCCAGGACAGAACCCTGCCTGCAGCACTCCACTCACCACTTCTTTCCAGGATGAATAAGAGGAAGCATTGAGGAGAATCACCCTCTGAGTTTGTTCACTTAACCAATTACAGATCCACCTCACCGTAGTTTTGCCTAGTCCACACTGAACTAGTTTCCTTGCCAGAAGGTCATGGGGGACCTTGTTGAAGGAAGGCCTTCATAAAATCCAGATACGCTACAGCAAAGACATAAGTTTCTGTATAGGACAATAGATCACACCATAGAATAAATGCCTTGCAAAGAAGTAAATAGCCAAAAACCTTGTAAAGACCTAGTTTGTGCAAATATCAACTCGACAACTGCAACTCCTTTTCCTCTCAGGCAGCAAGTACTGGACTGTGCATACAAGGACTTAATGGAGAAGCAAAGGACTATCTGGTTGCATCAACTTAGTCTTCCCATTTTGCTCTGAACTTGCTTTCTCCTGTTCCAACCAAATACCTTTAAAGTACAAGGTCTTGTTTGATCTCAGAAACTAAGCAGGATGAACGCTGATTAGTACTTGGATGGGAGACCACCAATGGATACCAGGATACCAGTACTTGGATGGGAGACCATCAATGGATACCAATGATACTCCTGGTCAGTCAAAAGGCCGAACAGGGCATAGGGTTACAGCCTGTGTTAGACGGGGTGACACTCCCCCTGAAGACGCAGGTTCGCAGCTTGGATGTGACCCTGGATTCACCGCTGAGCCTGGAACCCCAGGTTTCGGCGGTGACCAGGGTAGCATTTGCACAGTTAAAACTTGTGCGCCAGCTGCGCCTGTACCTTGCGAAGTCTGACTTGGCCACGGTAGTCCATGCTCTGGTTACATTCCATATAGACTACTGCAACATGCTCTATGTGGGGCTGCCTTTGAAGACTGTTCGAAAGCTTCAAATGGTCCAACGGGCAGCAGCCAGGTTGTTAACAGGAGTGGTGTTCAGGGAGCACACAACTCCTATGTTGCGCCAGCTTCACTGGCTGCCAGTTTGCTGTTGGTCACAATTCAAAGTGCTGGCTTTAGCCTTTAAAGCCCTAAACAGTTCTGGCCCAGTTTACCTGTCTGAACACTTAAGGTGCTTAAGATCAATTGGGGAGGCCCTGCTCTTGGTCCTGCCCCCTTCACAGATGCTACTGGCGGGAACGAGAGATAAGGCCTTCTCAGCAGTGGCCCCTTGGCTATGGAATGCCCTCCCTAGGGATATTAAATCAGCCCCTCCCTCCTAACAGTTCGAAAGAGAGTAGAAACCTGGCTGTTTGAGCAAGCATTTGCAGATGTAGTGTAACAGACTAATTGAGATCCACAGAACGATTGGATGGTGAACAGGAAAAGAGATTTAAAGATGGGCTTAAAGCCAATCTGAAAAACTGTAGCGTAGGCACCGAGAACTGGGAAGCTATGGCCCTTGAGCGCTCTAACTGGAGGTCAGCTGTAACCAGTAGTGCTGCAGAATTTGAAGAGGCACATATGGAGGGCAAAAGGGAGAGGAAGAACGCATCATGCCAACCCTGATCGGGACTGCATTCCATCTGAAAACCGATGTCCTCACTGCAGGAGAACATGTGGATCAAGAATAGGGTTCTACAGACACACACAGACATTACACTTGGAGGACCATCATCCTCAGGCTACGAGGGATCGCCTAAGTTAGTAAGCTCTTTCCATGCTGGGATATTGGGGTGGTTCTCTCAGCACAGTCATTACAGCGCATGGCATACTGTTCAAACCAAAGTATGTTTTGCAAAGGCCTCATAGTGAAACCTCAAAATCTATTCACTGGGTCAAAGTTTTACAAATGTTTTGCAGGTCTTTTTTAAAGCAACCATATTTTGAAACAACTCCAAAATGAGTCACATCAAGCCAAAGTTCCGAGCAAAAAACATACAAACAAACAAAACCCAAATCCAACATTGTTTTGCAAGAGTTAGCCAAAGCGATAAAAGGGTATTGACTCCAAGGGCAAGCCCAGCTCAAAGATTAGGTCACCTTTTATGACAGCCCTCCCATGTCCTTCTGTGAAGGAGTTTATGAAGGAGCAGCTGTCCCCTCCAGCCGCAAGGGATGGAAGCTCAGATGAAAAGCAAACAGCCCCTTCTTTCTGAGTCTTCCCAGTTCACAGAAGCATGGCAAACCCGGGCATTTCCCCTTCCTCTCGCACAGTTGACCTGCACATTACAGAGACCGGGAGAAAGAAGTCAATCAGCTTGGAAGCAAAACCTCTGGAGATTGGTGCTTCTGTTTGACACATGTGCCGGCATGAGTAGAATCGACTTGTTTGGGTTCCCGTGAAAGCACCGATCTCCTGAGAGGCTTCCTCCAAGATCTGAGAAACGTGTCCCCATTGGCTAGGGAGGAATTCCCAAGGCTTTGCAAGAAAGTTGACATACTCTTTTCAAGTCCCCAAAGCCAGCATGGTGTGTGTGCGTGACCCGGAAAGTCATTTTTGCTGAACTAATCTACGAAGCCAAACAGTATTGTTGCTAAAGCAAAAACAAAACACAAACATTCCTGGGATCAATTTGGTGAATTGTCAAAGGCTTTCAGGGCCAGAATCAATGGGTTGCTGCGGGTTTTCCAGGCTGTATGGCCATGTTCCAGAAGCATTCTCTACTGACGTCTCACCTGCATCTATGATGGTAGTTTCTGGCAACTATAATTCTGGCAACACACACGCATACACACAAACAAGACCATAAACATCAGAAGCGACTTGCAGTTTCTCAAGTTGCTCCTGACACGACAAAAAAAAATTATATCCTGCTTCTCTCACACACACTAGGGGCGCATCTATACTGCAGAATTAACACAGTTTGACACCACTTTGGCTGCCAAGGCTCAATGCTAAGAATCAAGCAAGCACTTAGAAAGAAATGCCGATGATGGGTTCACCTTAAAGTCACCATATAAATCCCTACTAAACAGCAATGAGAAATTCTAACTGCCCCCGATCCTAAACATAGTCAATATTTGGATGGAAGACCACCAACAAAGACCAAGTGCTGCAGGCCGTGTCCCAGAGGAAGGAACTGGCAAAATCCACTTGGAGTATTCCTTGCTTGTGAAATGCATGCTCAGAAGTCAACAGGTGACTCGGAGGCACATGCACACACAGGCCCAAGTGTTGCACGTTACACAAATTAGTACTGTGAGGTCAGGAGGAAACCCGATACCACCCATGACTCCAAAACAGCCCCAGGGAGAAAAGCCCAGCACACTGGAGCTGGGAAGCCGGCGTTCTCCCCAAACCCCTAACAACACACAGTTAATCTCCAGGAGGATTTAGTAACAGGAGTGGAGCAGCCCCAGCGCGGGCACATTCCTCCCAGCTCCTGGTCTTGTGCGAGGGAACCACCTGTGCGCCAGAGTCGGCCTCCCAGAAGCCAACGTTTGCTTTTTCACAAGAGAACCGCACTCTCGGCACTCTCACACACCATGTCACAGACCCAACTTGTTTTGACTAAGAGGTCAATGGCTTTGGGGCAAATGGTTTGCTAGAAAGCACCAGACGCTTGGCACCTGCTTCCAGCCAAAGGTCCCCTGTCCGACGTTGCCATCACAGGAGAGAGGACGCTTTTCCAATTCCATTGAGAACCTTACCTTTTGGAGAGACGCCGGTGTTGCACAAAGGTCCTGGGGCACAGCCGCTTTGCCCGCCAGCACCAGAGCAGCACACTCTGGGCATGCTCCAATGGTCAGCCGCTTACCGTCGTCCACCAGCAGACTACCAGGTGCCCGGAAGGAGCAAAGGAAGACAGGCAGGCGGGCAACCTCCACAGCTTTTAATCCCAGGCACCGCTTCCTCTCTTGCCGGCAGAAGAAGCAGACGAAGGCCTCTACTTTGTACTGCCTGGACCAGGGGCTGCTGGGGTGTGGCACGTGGCTGCTCTCGTACTGGATCCACTGGCCCAGCAGGTCGTGGTGGCACAGCACGCAGGCCAACACAGTGCCCGTAGAGTCGGCCGGACGGGCCCGAGGTGCCGGTGGGTACACCGTCAGGAAGGGGAAAAAGGGCTCCTTCTCGCCAAAGCGGCCTGGAGGGTTGACACTCAGCTGGCACTCCTTACCCAATGGTGGTGGTCCTAATTCGGCCCCACAAATGTAACAAATAGACACTGGGCCCTGTTTGGTCAAAACAGAGTGCCTGGATGTGATGACAGCGTTGTGCCCGGACTCCATGCTTGCAAAGACCCGGTGATACCTGCCCAGGAAGCTCTGGACGGAGGTGATGAAGTCCTCATTGCGGGAGGCACGGTACATGGCCCACAGGTCGCGCAGGACGCCATAGCACTTGGGGCAGCTGCGCACCTCCCAGCGCTTGTCGGGACCCTTGGCGTTGGGTGGGCAGGGCAGGAGCCGGAGGAAGGGGAAGTGCATGGTGGCCTCAGTGTCGCCGTTGAGGACCTTTGCTGGGACAGGGTGGCCCTCCTCGGCAGCATATTCCTCCCCGCAGAGATAGCAGGCCTCTCGCCGTGGGGTTGCCGCCCGTGGCTTGGCAGCTGGGTCCAAGGGCACCACATAGAGGCGCTGCAGGACAGGCACGCCGGCCGCTTGGAAGCCCTGCCACTGCTGTGCCAAGGATGCGGCGCAGGCGGAACAAGCGACCGTGGTGCCGGTGGTGGGACTGATGGGCAGGGCGCCTGGCGGGGGGCTGTGGAGCCATAGGAAGGGGAAGAAAGGCGCCCCTGAGGCCTGCTCCTGCTTCTGGACGTGGAGCCGGTGACGGGCACCCGGTGGGAGGAGAGTCCCACAGACATAGCAGGCCACTTCGCTTGGCCCTGACGTGGACAACGCTTGCATCGAGGAAGGAAGAGACGGCAATGGTGGATGCCTGGAGCCATTCATGACCTTGTGCTCGTTGTCACTCGTGATGTTGACCTCTTGACTCTCTTCCTGGAAGGAAGCCTTGCTCACCTGGCTTCCTCCTTCTCCTCTTCCTCTTCCTCCTTTGGCAAAGGTGTGCTTGCTCAGCTCTCGCTCTCCTGCCAAGAGCGGTTGCGGCCTCTTCCTCTCCTTCTTGGGGACCAGCCCGTCTTGGGGTGCTCCCACCTTCCTCTCTCGGCTCCAAGGCTCGTCCCAAGGCGGTTCGGTCTCGGAAAGCGAGGACAGCTCCGAGTCCAGGAAAGGGGCCTCTTTCTCCTCTTCTTCTTCCTCTTCCTCTTCCTCACCTGCTCCTCCGCCTTCGAAGTCCCAGTCTTGGGGTCCCGCTGAGGGTCCTCCGGGCGGCCCGGTTTCTCCTTGGTGGGGCCTCTTGAGCCAATAGAGCCGCTTCTCGACGGGGGTCCGGCTCCTTTCGAAGGCGTCCCACTGCTCGGTGAGGAAGCAGCGACACACGGCACAAACCAGAGCCGTGCCCTCACTGCTCACCGCCTGGGCCCCCGGGGCAGGGTCCTGGTGCCGCAAAAAGGGGAAGAAAGGAGAGGAAGAAGAGGATGAAGAGGAAGAGCCACGAGGAGCCTGGACTTGCAGCTTGAGCTCTCGGCCTCTTCGGATCCCCCCGCCACAGACGAAGCAGCGCAGCCAAGAGTCAGGAGACCCTCCAAGAGAAGGAGGTGAAGGAAGAGAAGGAGAAGACCCCAAGGCATTGGCTCTTCCTCCCTCTCGCCTTTCCTCCTCCTCCACCACCGCAGCCATCAGGCGCTGCTTGCGGGAGAGAGGAGCTTCCTCCGGGCCCGGGGGGCTCATCTCGGACCCCAGGAAAGGCAGAAAGAAGGAGGAGGAGGAGAGAGGAAAAGGAGGAGGAAGCAAAGGAGGGGGAGAGATGCCGCACTGAGCCCACGCTGGCTCATTCTGCCGGCGCCGGCCGGGCTGCTCTGGCTCCTGCCTCTCTGCTCCTCACTCCACTGAGCTTGTGCAAGGCTTGCTTGGGCTCTTCGCCTCCAAAGCAGGGAGGAAGGGAAGGGAAAACAAAGGGGGTCCCCTCCTGCAGACCCCGGCCCAGCAAAGGGGCGCTGCTGTAGGCGCCCCAAGGCTCTTCTCAGGAAGGAGGAGGAGGAGGAGGAAGGGGTCCTTCTGCTTCCAGCTTCTCTTTCTCTCTCTCTCTCTCCAAGTTCTTCGCTTGTGAGTGGGAGGGAAAGAGGGAAGGAAGGAAGGAAGGAGGTGGGTCTTTGGGGAGGGGGCTCCAGGCGGGACAAGTTCAGCCCTTTCCTCGCCCAACTCGGATCCAGTCCAAGGCTCGCTTCACGCCCAATCCTGCGCCCCACCTCCTCCTACTCACAAGATACTATTATTATCAGTATTATTATTATTATCAGCAAACTTTGCAAAACTTTGCTTATACACTCACACCGCCCTCTCTCCAGGTTCCCTTCCCTCCCCCCTCCCTTCCTTTTCACAAAATACTATTATTGTTATTATTGTTATCAAACTTTGCAAAAATTTGCTATACATTCAGACCACCCTCTCTGCAGGTTCCCTCCCCTCCCTCCTCCCTTGCTTCTCACAAAATACTATTATTATTATTATTATTATTATTATTATTATTATCAAACTTTGCAAAACTTTGTTATACATTCAGACCACCCTCTCTGCAGGGTCCCTCCCCTCCCTCCTCCCTTTTCACAAAATACTATTATTATTATTATTATTATTATTATTATTATCAAACTTTGCAAAACTTTGTTATACATTCAGACCACCCTGTCTGCAATATCCCTCCCCTCCCTCCTCCCTTGCTTCTCACAAAATACTATTATTATTATTGTTGTTATCAAACTTTGCAAAACTTTGTTATACACTCAGACCACCCTCTCTGCAGGTTCCCTCCCCTCCCCCCTCCCTTTCTTCTCACAAAATACTATTATTATTATTATTATTATTATTATTATTATTATTATCAAACTTTGCAAAACTTTGTTATACACTCAGACCACCCTCTCTCCGGGTTCCCTCCCCTCCCTCCTCCCTTTTCTCAAAATATTATTATTATTATTATTGTTATCAAACTTTGCAAAACTTTGTTATACATTCAGACCACCCTCTCTCCAGGTTCCCTTCCCTCCCCCCTCCCTTTTCACAAAATACTATTATTATTGTTACTATTATTGTTGTTATCAAACTTCGCAAAAATTTGCTATACACTCAGACCACCCTCTCTGCAGGTTCCCTCCCCTTCCTCCTCCCTTTTCACAAATTATTATTATTATTATTATTATTATTATTATTATTATCATCAAACTTTGCAAAACTTTGTTATACACTCAGACCACCCTCTCTGCAGGTTCCCTCCCCTCCCCCCTCCCTTTTCACAAAATATTATTATTATTATTATTATTATTATCAAACTTTGCAAAACTTTGTTATACATTCAGACCACCCTCTCTGCAATATCCCTCCCCTCCCTCCTCCCTTCCTTTTCACAAAATACTATTATTATTATTATTGTTGTTGTTGTTGTTGTTATCAAACTTTGCAAAACTTTGCTATACACTCAGAACACCCTCTCTGCAGGTTCCCTCTCCTCCCTTCCTTTTCATAAAATACTATTGTAGTTATTATCAAACTTTGCAAAACTTTCCTGGACATTCGGGCCACGCTACCCAAGGATTCTGCATCCTCGCTTCAACTACCCACACCTTGAAAATATTACAAAATAATAACAGCAATAATAAAAATATTATTATTAATAATAATTTATCATAATAAAATAATACAATAATAAAAATAATACAACAATAATATAACAATACAACAATATAATAAAATATTATTAGCAATAATTGATCATAATAAAATATAATAATACAATAATATAATAAAATATTATTATTGACCACCATTTATAATAATAATGATAAAAGATAACACCTTGAAAATATTACAAAATAATAACAATAAAAATAGTTGTTTTGCTATTATCAAACTTTGGAAAACTTTGCTGTACACTCAGGCAACCCTACCCAAGGATTCCACATCCACGGTTCAACTATCCACACCGTGAAAATATTACTAAATAATAACAGCAATAATAAAAAATATTATTAATAATAATTGATCATAATAAAATAATAAAATATAATAAATATAATACAACAATAATATAATAATGCAACAATATAATAAAATATTAACAATAATTGATAATAATGATAAATAATAACACTTTGAAAATATGACAAAATAATAAAAAACAATAATAAATATTAATAATTGATAATAATAAAATAGAATAATACAATAATATAATATTATTATTAACAATAATTGATAATTAATAATGATAAATTATAACACTTTGAAAATATTACAAAATAATAATAAAAGTTATTTTTGCTATCATTATCAAACTTTGTTACACTCAGGCCACCCTACCCAAGGATTCTGCATCCACGGTTCAAATATCCACACCTTGAAACTATTGCAACATAATAACAATAATAATAAAATATTATTATTACAGTTTTTAAACTTAACTGTACAGTTGATTCGCTGTCTCCACAGGTTCAGTATCCACGCTTCAACACATAGAAAATATTACAAAATTATTATTACTACCACCCTATCTGCAAGTTCCCCCTTTCATTTTAACAAAATACTATTAATATTAATATTATCAAACTTTGCAAAACTTTACTGCACACTTGGGCCACCCGACCCAAAGATTCTGCATCCACAGTTCAACTAACCACACCTTTAAAATATTGCAAAATAATAATAATAATAATAAAATATTAATTTTTTTTAAACTTTACTGTACAGTTGCCCTGCTGTATCCACAGGTTCAGTATCCACGCTATAATATTACAAAATTATCTTTCCATCCTATCTGTGGATTTCCTCCTTCTTTTTAACAATACTATTATCTGTTATAACAAAGTGCCAGCACATTTAAACAGGAAATAACACTTTCAAACCAGGAACAGAAACTTTATCAAATTTTCCAAATATGTTCTGTGTTCAATTGCAGTAAAATCCCAAGGTATCTGCTATACATACACACATACATACATACATACATATATAGAAAGAGAGAGAGAGAGACTATGCATTATGCAAAGCATTTAGTGTACCATTGACATGTCTTTGCTCATATGATCTCACAGGGGAATGGAAAATAATACGGGGCAGAACAGGATTGAGAGGAAAGGTTGGTAAAACCTGTAGAGCAGCGTTTCTCAACCTGGGGGTCGGGACCCCTGGGGGGTCATGAGGGGGTTTCAGAGGGGTCACCAAAGGCCATCAGAAAACACAGCATTTTCTGTTGGTCATGGGGGTTCTGTGTGGGAAGTCTGGCCCAATTTTATCGTCGGTGAGGTTCTGAATGCTCTTTGCTTGAACTATAAATCCCAGCAACTACAACTCCCAAATGCCAATGTCTATTTTTCCCCAAATTCCACCAGTGGCATATATTTGGACATATTGAGTATCCGTGCCAAGTTTGCTCCAGGTCCATCATTGTTTCAGTCCACAGTGCTCTCTGGATATAGGTGAACTACAACTCCCAAACTCAAGGTCAATGCCCACCAAACCCTTCCAGTATTTTCTGTTGGTCATGGGAGTTGTGTGTGCCAAGTTTGGTTCAATTCTATCCTTGGTGGGGTTCAGAATGCTCTTTCATTGTAGGTGAACTATACATCCCAGCAACTACAACTTCCAAATGGCAAGGTCTATTTTCCCCAAACTTCACCAGTGTTCCCATTTTTTTTTTATAAATTTTTTATTGATTTATCACTTTATTACATACTATTACATTTTGTACATCAACCTCTTTAACATGTTGTTTTATTATTTTACTCTGACATTTCTCCCCCTTTTTCTCATTTTTTCCCCCTTTTTCCACCACAGTGCTCCCCTCCACCCATCTCAAGCCACCCTTCTTACATTTCATCTGTCCAAAATTTCATTTCTTCTTGTGACGGTAATTTTCCTTCCTTATTTTTTAATCCATTTACCACAAATCTTCCCCATACAGCATCAAAATCGCTTTGTTTCCATATACCTTTTTTAACCTTTAATATTATAAACGATAATATAATTTATCGTTTATTGCTATTTTCCATGCTTCTTTATACCACTCCTCTATTTGTATATTCATTTCTTTTTTT